TTTTTTAACAAGCTACTTAAGTTATGGCCGCTGTCCCTTTACAGTGTGCTTTGTGTGCAGTTCACTGTGTGCTTTGCGTGCAGTCTTCTACTCCTCCATCCTTCCTGGGTTGCAGAGGCGCAGCAGGCACATCCCTGCTGCTGCTTCATTGCCATGCATTCCTGGGTGGAGTCCCTTTTTTTTTCCAAGTCCAGGTTGTTGTACCCCCTGGCTACTGCGCATATGTCAGGCCTGCCAGCACATGACCATTTGATCATGATCTCGATTTATTCCCTCACCGGTCCCCTATGGGACACCCTCCCAACCTTACTGATCATCTCTATGGTGTCAGAGTTTTGTGCCAATTTGTGAGGATATGGTTGTATCTATGGGACGCTGGACCCGGTTTCCAGCAGGTGCTGCTCCCCACCAATAGATGGAGCTCGGTTTTCCAAAAAAAAAAAAAAAAAAAAAAAAAAGAGTAGGGACCCCCGTGTGGCACGGGGGGCCACATCATTCCTTACTGCTCGATGTGGCTGCACAGCAGCGTCCACCTGAGACTCTGGCCAGTCAAAGTTCCCAATTTTCAAAGGCTCTGACTCCGGCCACATGTTAGTAGTGTGGTTGCGTGCACAGGAAAAGTTTCCCCTCCCCCACACACAACCCATTGCATGCCAGCAGAGTGCTTTTTTTTGGAACAGGAGCAACCTTTATAAAAGTGTGCGGCTTACCGGGCCCGGCGTCGGCGTCCCTCACAAAGTTCGCCGCCGCAGCTCTGAGGTCTAAGGGTGAGCAAGGCCCTCCGGCCAAGCGAAGCGCAGGCCACACGATTGCGGCAAGGTTTGTAGTACTTTGTACTCCTTATTCCCGTGCCAGCAGAGTTTGAGCCAGCCCCTGCCTTGAGGACTGATCTATTTGTTATATGGTTCGGATTGTGTATCTGTCCTTTCCTAATTTAAATGGTTTGCGCTTTGCCTTTCTGCATTCAATTTTAAAATTTTCCTTATCATCTTCCTTAAGTTTCCCTTGACGGGGGGTTTCTGAGTCGTTTCTGAACTTTGCCTATTTTGAGGTTTGTCGTAGTGATTTTCTAAGTAGCCCAATTTTTTCTTAGCCAAAGCCGAGTAGTGGCCCCGGTATCTCAAGCTTTCAAAATTCTATGTAAATTTCTATATGGGACGCTGGGCCCGGTTCCCAGCACGTGCTGCTCCCCACGAATAGATTGGAGACTTGTTCCCAAAAAAAAATTTTGTTCAGAGTGTGGTACTCGGGGATATGATCGTGGAATGGATCGGGAACTCATGTGGTAGTAGGAAGGATATCGATTAGAATAAGGAGTATTGGATATACGGGCTTGGGTTTGAACTGATGACCAGAAGGTTGGTACTGGGTTTCCTTTCAGTTTGGGTTGTTATGGCAAAGCTGGTGGTATACGAGGATTTGAACCTGGGATCGGAATAGGAGGTCTATTTTTGTCAGTACTTCCTTCTCTTTTCTCAGGGTTAATTCTGTTTTGGACTTGGTTTAAGTCTATGGTCATTGTTTTTTGAAAAAATCCTTAGCGTAGGGTGAACCCTAGGACGCGACTTTTTCGATTGATGGTCGACTTACTTTGTCGGTGCTATTATGTTAGTATATAATAGTAGTAGCTACAGTTCATGTCACCGATAACGAGGCCCCTGATGATCCTGGTACTGGCGGCCAGGTGAAACCGGTAGGGTCATTCGCCATGTCGAGCTTCACGTTAAATTTTTAATCAGTCGTGTTCGGGACATGGTCTGTTGTCAGCTACTGGTTTCCTTATCCCTCTTTCTCCCCCACTTATTTTTCCCTTCTTCTTTCCTCTTTGCTCTCATCTTTCCTGGTCTTGTCGAGCCTTATCTTCCTCTATCCTGTCGTGTCACTATCATTTTGATTGTGTATCGTATGTCAACCCGTTTGACAAACTTTCATACACGGAGGAACCGCCGTAGGAGTTGTACTACGTGTGCGTGACTTCGAAACTTTAGCATGGCTAACAATCAGAATGTCGAGCCTAGGTCCTGCTACAATTGCTGGGAGCGTGGGCATATCTCGCGTTTCTGTCCTTATCCTGATAGAAGAATGAACGGTGGCCAGAATGGCTCTGGTTCCGGCGCTACTCCACTCCTTACTTTCCCCGCTAACAACAATTCCGGAGTTGGTACTGCAGCTCCTGCGCAAACTTACTCTGGGCAGGGGAACGGTAGTGGGTGGTTGGGGAAGCGGGTGTATACGCTTGAAGAGCGGGTCGCGAAGATTAGTCAGAAGCACGAGGCGGAAGAAGCAAGGGAGAAGACGCGAAAAGAAGAAGAAGAAAGAATGAAGCGGAAACAAGAGGAGGACGAAAGATTGGAGCGGGAGAAGAAGGAACGGGTTGAGTTCCAGAAATCGATCAAGCAGGAACTTGCCGATAGTATGAGTAAAGTCTATTCGGCTATAGATGGAAAGAAGAAGAGTGAACCGGATGAGTTGGAGAAATTGAGGTCAATGGTTGAAGGACTGCAACAAAGGATAGCAGCAGGCAGCACGTCTACGGATAGGTCGCACGAAGCCGCTGTTGGAGAACTGACGCGTATTCGGCGTGAGCAAGCTGATTTGAAGGTTGACTCGGACAAACGCTTATCGGCGCTAGAGGAGGTTGTGATGGCGTTGCAACGACAGTGTGAGGAAGTGGAGGCCACGGCAGAGCGCTGGAAAGCGGAGGCTCTCAGGCCTGGTAACAAGTGCGGCAGCATCGCCGTGGGTGCTACTCCAATTTCGCAAGCGCGTTTGCGAACGCGCCTCGGGGGGGCCGAATCGCCCAAGGGGCATATTGAAACTCCGAGGCGACACGTAGAGGTTGACTTGAAAGGTATTGTGGAAAGACACTAGATGGAGGTGGAGGCACTGCAGACGCTGCGCATTAACGAGATGAACGCTCGCAGGGAATCGGAGCTAGAAGTGGAGAAGTTGAAAGAGTCTTTAGCTCGATTGGACATGGAGAAGAGAATTTCGACGGGGGGCACTAATTTGAAGGCTAGGATGGATGAGGTCGCGGCGAACAAAGATAAGACATATGGAGGCATCGGGAGTGACGTGGGAACGTCCGCAAGAAGGACGAAAGAGAAAGAGTCGAATGTGGCAACCAATTCGGATGACCGGGACACGTTTGTGCGTGCTAATCGAAAGGATTTGCGCGGCAGGAATAAGGATTTCGTGATGAAGATCTGTGAGAAAGAAAGCGTGGAGTATACCACGCTCGATCCAACCAAGGAGGCAATCGTGCAAGCCAGAGCAACAAAGGCATTTGACGATGAAGGGAGGAAAGGTAAGAAAGCGGTCACAGTGACGGTGTCGGATGACGGGGGAGGTCAGGCCACAACAGAGGAATGTGATGATTCTGCTGCGTCTTAGTATTTTTCCCGAGCACGGCCCTGTTATGGGATTTAGTACGTTTCTGTTGCACTATACGTAGTGTATCTACCAAATTTATGAGGAATGGTGCTGTGTGCTCTGTATTCAGTCTTGCTGTGTGTGGATTAATAGTTGCTGATCAGATTCCATGGGGAACTAAGTTGCGTACCTTTTTGTTGGATGCGATCTCGAGTGTAAGTGATGATGAGGGATTGTGGAGTGGTCTGGTTGTTTATGCATTGGTTTCGACATGGAGTAAGCACATCTATGTAGGGTGTACGAGTCGTGACATGCAGACGAAGTGGAAAGAGCATGTATACCGGTCTTGTCAAACGGTTGGAAACGAGAAGAGAAATCGGAATGAGAAACTGTATAGATGGCTTCGTAGATGTGGAGCGGGTAATTTTGCTATTATACCGTTGTGTCGATGCCATCTGGATGATCTGCTGGACACCGAGAAGTTTTTTATACGGCTATTATGTCCTGCATTAAACACTAGGGACAAACCGAAACGAACGAGGAGGAAACGACCAGGACTAAGGGAACGTCTGAGAGGGGAACGTCTGCGGAACGATGATTGTGATGAGGGAAAGGTTATGACGAATCGGGTTGGAACATTAGTGGAATTTCACTCCAGCGTGGGGATCGTGTCGTATAGTCTTCTCAAAATCCTCGAATATTGTCGGTTAGAGTCAATTCACTTTATAGTAGTATCCTGTGTGGGAGGCGAGAGAACTATTGATCGATGGAAGGTATTGAAACGTTTATGGAGGTAGCATAGTTTCATCGGCGTTGGGTCGTCTTGAACTCCGTCATGCTCGAGGATGGCTGTTGGGCAACTCGACTTTCTCGTTAGAAGCGGTAGTGCCTTTTTTTAGTAGATCTCTCGTTTTTAAGCCTACGCTTCTTGGATTTCTCTCTAACCCGCAGAGTAGGAGCATACTGAGGACTTGGTGTCTGGAAGAATTTATGGCTGCATACACAGCTGTAAGGACTTTTAGTGAAAAGAGGTCTCAGTTTCGGCTTCGTTGTTTGTTGTCGAATGTTATTCGGTCGAGGTTGGTTTGCACGTCAGAAAGAGGTTGGTCTGCAAGATAGTGTATGATGAGGCGATCTCAAAAGCTAGTGCTCGACGAGCATGTGTATCTGTTATCACAGCATTAGACGTGTCAGAGGGTTGGAAGTTGATGTTGATCAGACGCTTGAGGGTGGTATGGTGTCGAAACCGTAGCTTCGGGGATTGCATACACAATTATAGGAGAATCGCTAAGGAAGTGGAGACTGTATGCACATGCAAAAAAAGTAGTGGTTTGTTTCCCATATGTGATGGGCATGTTGCATTCCGCATAACTAACGTCGACTTTTTTCCTAGTTGGATGTGCAACTCGAAAAATATTCTGCGGCCAAGTAAGAAGCACTCTTCACTTGCACTTCGCTCTCAAATTCTCGACACTTTTGATGCACACCCTTCCATTCCGAAGTTTGATCCAGGGTTGCTATCCGATGAGGTAGTGTTGAAGTGTTTCTTGAAGAAACCGGGTGATTGTTTGCATGATGGTAGCAGTGATGAAGGTAAAATTGGTGTTGATGATCTTTCTAAGTGGTTACCTCTCTTTGTAGGCCTCGTTTGCTCACCGATTGACCATAATCAGGGTGATACGTTCGTATGCTGTCCAGTTATTTACGAGCAGGGGATGCAAAAGTTATTTCTCGCTAATCCATCGTTTCAGTTGATTGTCGAGAATAAGAGCAAATTGTTGGAGAAATGTGCCGACGAATACAACTGTTCGGGGTTACAACGTGTTAGCAAGTGGAAGAAGGAGGGAGACATTGGAAGTTCGTATTGTATTCCCAAACATAAGGATGTCGGGAAGTGGCGTCTCATCTGCCCGTCGTACATGGAGGGTTCGGCAAGAGGTGGTAGAATTGTTGCAAAAATGGTCAATTGTATGTTATGGAGTTTACCAAGAGGTAGTAATTTGAACTTGCGAAGTGTGGATGGGTTGGTAAGGGAAGTGCAGTCTATTAATGGAGAATTGCGGAAGGGGGATTGTGTTATTGGTGCTTCATTCGATGTAAAAGAGATGTTTTCACACTTACCTCACCAGTCAATTCTGGATTCGTTAGTATGGGTCATCGATTATTGGAAGAGCAAAGGAGTGAAGGGGATTGTTGTTATGAAAAAAGGTAAGGGTACCAAGTTGGTGCGAGGTGATGTCGAGATGGGATGGTTATTTGTCCCGTTCAATCTGATCCTTTCCTTTGTTTGTTTTGAATTAGAGCACACTTACGTTTCTGCTCGGGGTCGTATTCTCCGGCAAACGGTTGGGATTCCGATGGGTAAATCGACAAGCCCGGCGGTTGCTTGTTTATTGTGCGCTTATAACGAATTCCTGTTTCTGTCCAGTTTAGGTGCTGACCGAAGATGGTTCCGGGGTGTTCGACTTGTAGACGATGTATCCATATTTATTATTAGGAGGAAGCATGGGTTAGATACAAAGAAGTCGGAGGTGCTACTGAGGAGATTCGCTGATTGCTACGATAAGAATCCGGTGTTGGAAAGAACGGATGTTAATGATGCGTGGAACTACCTGGGATGTATATTGGGTACGTGCGAGGACAGGTCCGAGGTTGTGTGCCTACCTAGTATCAAGAACCAGATGGTTGTGCAGTTAGGAGATCGTCTGACATTCCAAAATATACAGGATTATGTATCGTTTACTAACCGACAACAGAAATCCGCAGTAGTGTCTTCTTTTCTTCATCGAGCTAGACTAAACTCAAGTCATCCGAAAGGTGCTTTTCCATTGTTGCTGACGTTGAAATGTGAGCTGAAGGTACGCGGATATCCGGATAGCCTGTTCGATAGGGCGCTGGTGAGTTTCTGCGGAAATTTGGGGGAATATGGGGTGAATGGTTGCCCTTGTTGACCAGATGGGATCGATTGACGTCTAAGGGGTCGTTGTCGGTTTAAACCCCGTGTTAGGGGTACAGTTGGTTATCAGAAGTTGTTACTGGGGTTGAAAAATGGTACTTGCGGACGTGTTTTTAGTCCAAGGTGTGGGGCTTGGGGTTATGGAACCGTTTCGGAATGGGTTTTTGTTTGGAACCAACTGTTGGGGACTTACGTAGCATTAGGAAGGATATCGATACTGGGGTTGAGAACATGGTACTCGGAGGTTGAACCTTCGCGGATATATTTTCAGTCCAGAGTGTGGGACTCGGGATATGATTGTGGAACAGATCGGGAAATCGTGTAGCATTAGGAAGGATATCGATGCTGGGGTCGAGAACATGGTACTCGGAGGTTGAGCCTTCGCGGATGTATTTTTTTGTTCAGAGTGTGGTACTCGGGGATATGATCGTGGAACGGATCGGGAACTCATGTGGTAGTAGGAAGGATATCGATTAGAATAAGGAGTATTGGATATACGGGCTCGGGTTTGAACTGATGACTAGAAGGTTGGTACTAGGTTTCCTTTCAGTTTGGGTTGTTATGGCAAAGCTGGTGGTATACGAGGGTTTGAACCTGGGATCGGAATAGGAGGTCTATTTTTGTCAGTACTTCCTTCTCTTTTCTCAGGGTTAATTCTGTTTTGGACTTGGTTTAGGTCTATGATCATTGTTTTTTGAAAAAATCCTTAGCGTAGGGTGAACCCTTGGACGCGACTTTTTCAATTGATGGTCGACTTACTTTGTCGGTGCTATTATGTTAGTATATAATAGTAGTAGCTACAGTTCATGTCACCGATAACGAGGCCCCTGATGATCCTGGTACTGGCCGCCAGGTGAAACCGGTAGGGTCATTCGCCATGTCGAGCTTCACGTTAACTTTTTAATCAGTCGTGTTCGGGACATGGTCTGTTGTCTGCTACTGGTTTCTTTATCCCTCTTTCTCCCCCGCTTATTCTTTCCTTTTTCTTTCCTCTTTGCTCTCATCTTTCCTGGTCTTGTCGAGTCTTATCTTCCTCTATCCTGTCGTGTCACTATCATTTTGATTGTGTATCGTATGTCAACCCGTTTGACAAACTTTCTCTGTGTCCTTTTTCCTTTTTCCTATTTCCAAAAGGGTTCCAAATTGCGCTACAGTCCCTTCCTTGCTTCAACTGATGGGCTGATCGGCTACGTTACTTCTTCTTCTTCTTCTTCTTCTTCTTTTTTTTTTTTTTCTTTTTTTTTTTTTTTTTTTTTTTTTTTTTTTTTTTTTTTTTTTTTTACGTTACTTTTCGAAGCTACCTTTCTGGTTCTGGACAACTTCTCTGATGCCGTTCTTATTTATTTATTTATTGACAATTTATTTATTTATTGACAAAATGCTCTAATCTATTCCGTTTACAGTTCAAACAAATTGTTTTACGCGAATTCCGGCCCATCCTTGTATGAATGGCAAAACGATTCTTCTAGGAACATGACTTTTCTTCCCCGTAGATATCATAATATGCTCTTCTTTCTTTAGGTGTTCTGCCTGATTACATGTAGAATTCTGCGACCATGTCTCTTTCGTTCTGAAATACACCGGGCCGGTTTTTTTTCACCCCCTCCTAGCCATCCCCGACGCTCGAACAGACAGGCGATCCATTTGTTTCATTTGAATACATGGCTTTTTCCATCTTTTGTTTGCCTCCTCCTTGGCTCCACCTGGTTTCATCCCTCCTTTCGAATGTTTACTCTGTTTGGATTCTCTCTTCCCGTATGTGATAGGGGTAATAACTTCAGTAGAGTCACAAAAAAACGAGTTATAATTGCACCACTATGGGGCAAGATACAGTTTGCAATTGCACTTGGGGCACCCTACACCTGGCCAGAAAGCCGGGTTGTATACATTGCCCAAACTGCAGTTCGAAACTGTATATATCAATGGTATGAGGGTGGGGTGGCTCTGGGATCTCGTTTGAGCACACCTGATGCTTTAGAAAAGTCCATAGCCTCGGGAAAAATAACAAACACCATCTTATCTCGGTCTGTTAAGATGGATCAATGGGACGCTGGACCCGGTTTCCAGCAGGTGCCGCTCCCCACCAATAGATGGAGCAGCCCGATAAAGAAATCCTCAA